TTTTCCCCCTACGTTTTGGTCCTTGGATGTATTCATATTGTTCTTTGTTTTAAGATTTATTTTTATGATAAATTATTGGGGAAGGAGAAGAAAATGAGATGAAAATGCCACATGGATGAGGTGCATTAAGTAATTTCATTAGAAAAGTTATCGATATAGAAAACAGTTATCAAAAGGGAAATGCTTCTTTGTCCGACTCTTAAGGACTGGTAATGGGACTGACTACTCTGATTGTAAAAGTCTTATTTTCAGTTCTCTGGCTAATTACCAGTGCTCATGCAAATCATATTGAAGAGTAAGGATGTACATTTTGATGAGCCCTTATAAAGGTCATCTCCCTCTTAGTAACATACAATGGTTGATATTAACAAGCAACCCTCAAAGTTTTCAATTGTATATTTCTTTACTTTCCCCTGCTTTTCTTTATTGAGATTCATAATTGGAAAACCGTTCTCTTTATGGCTTTGTCCACTATGAAGTGGTTTTAGGTTTTATGTTATACGGGGGATTAATTGTGGTATTACTAATCTCCAATAGGACATCAACTTGCTTGAAAGGTAATTGTGCTTGTTGTTAGCTTTTGCATCTTATCATCTGGCAGGAGTGAAAAAAACACCACAAGCAGGGTTAGTGAGGCGACAATCAGAATGTTTTTTTTAATATACTTTAAGGGGCATTCACTTGTGGGTTTGTACACTCCGACGGTGGTGAAGAGTCCTATTACTTTTATTTTGAGAGTAGGAGCTTCCTACCCCAACGGAGCCAACGGTTCAAACATCTTCTTAGTATCATATAACGTTGCTGTGTTAAATTTAGCTTAGAGGGAATGTATTTAAAGTTCGGTTCTATTTGAATCAAAAGCATTTGTTAGCATTAGTTATTAATGTGCTTCTGTTTATAATTTCAAATTAAATACAAACATATTTTCTTACTCTTTAACTAATAATCCACCGTCGTTGTCTGGGCGGTGGTGGCCGCCTCCACCACCGCTCTGGCTGGTTTCTCGCTCTCTTTTGACCGCTTCTCTCTTGATCTCTATAATCCAACACCGTGTCGTTGTACATAGGTTTGGTCAGCCTTGTCCTGGTGTTTTTTGGGGTTTTCTTGTGATTTAGTTCATATTCGTGAGACTCCGCGTGGTTTTCTTGTCAGCTCTGGAGTCAGTTTGTGATTCTTTAAAACTGCTTGCAAGCTGTTTGTGTAATTGCTTTTGCGAACCAGGCCTTTGAGCGTTTGATTATCTCAAGTTTGAGGGTAGTGGATTGCTTTTGTTGTGATGCAATGTGTATATTTCAAAGAAGAAAATTCGTGTTGGCTCAAGGCTTGTCGGTGACGACTGCCCGCTCCTGTGTTTTGTGTTTTGCATTGTGTGGTCCTTATTGGCACTCCGGCCGGTGGTGGAGCGGAGTTTTCAGTGTTGTTGGTGACGAGATGTGTCTTAGGTTGAAGGAGGGTTCCGTTGCAGCTTGCTGGTTTCCTATTCTAATTGTGGTATTGAGGTGCAGTTCCCAGGGTTTCAAATCGCGGTCGCGTTTTCGGTTATTTCGGATTTACCGTGATTGCGGCCGTCGCGGACGCTATTGCGGCTGTCGCGGGTAACTCGGACGGCAGCGAAACCGCTATATCGCGGTCGCGGACCATTTTTTGAAACCTTGGCAGTTCCTTTGGAAGTTCTTCATTGTTGTGAGGTTCGTGTTTGCATTGTCAGGCTCTGGTCGGAGGCGGAACGTGGTTTGCAGTCGCTGGTGGAGGTTTCTGGTTTCATAGAGACATGTGCAGACAAATCTGGTCCCGAGAAAGGTGGTATGGGGGTTGTGTAGTTTCAAGGCGTTGAGTCAGAGAATTCTGGTCGTTAGTGGAATATTGGCAGCATGTTTTGTTGCTTGCGGAATTCACCAGGTTTCGTTAGTGAAAGAAGGCGTGGGTCTTGAGGGTGTTTTGGATGGGCAGGAGCAGTTTGTGTCGAGTAGTCAGAGGCGTGTTTTATTTAGGTTTTTTGAAAGGTAGTGCGACGCATGATGGAGTTATAGTGGTTGTTTCGGGTGTTGTTATAGAAGGGGTGTTCGAGTTTCCCATATTTTCGTGTTCTGGGTTAGTGGAACAACTCGTTTTTATTGAGGTTGTTTTTTGCCATTGTCTAGAGAACAAGCTTTTAGTTTGGCCGTCTTTTTTATTATCCAAGTGCTCAAGGTTTCTTGAGGTTTCTTTTGCTGTGGTCTCTAAATTCAAGTTCGAGGGGGCAAATCGTTTCAGTCTTTTCTAAGAGGTTTCTCTTTGTGAAATGGAAGTAGCTTGGTTCCAAGGGTAGAGAAGCAAGTTTTAGTGTTTAGTAGTGGTAATAGATTGGATTTTGAGGTGGGATTACGTTGGTGGCATGGAGGGCGTTTACCTCTGTAGCAGTGATGGCTCGTGCTGCTGCAGATGCTTTGTGGTGCTTTATAGTACTGGATCCAGCTTAGGGTGGTACATTTCGGGTTGTGTTTCTGTATTAAGAACAGAGTAAAGTTGGATCTTCTTGATTGTTTCCTTGGTGATTGTTTGGTTCGGTGCTTCTTGTTGGTATGGCACTTTCAGCTCTGGGTGTTGATTTTTTAGTTTCAGTTCGCTTTGATTTCGGACGTGTTTTTTCAGGCCCTTGATGGGGCTGCGCTAGTGGTGCAGTGGCGGTGTTTCCTGGTCTTAGTTTTTGCAGTGGGTTATGTATTTCCTGTATCCATTGTTAGGCATATGCTCATCTGTCTTATGTCTTGGAGCTTGTAGCATGGTGTTGTTTGGTTTTGGATGTGTGTAGTCCCTTGGTGAATTCCATTCAGGGGCAGTGTGAACCTACATTGATGTAGCCTGTTTCGGCGGTTATAGTGGTGTAGTTCCCTACTGTTGTTCTTGTTTGTTCTAGGGTTCATGTTGGACCTTCTTCCATCCCAAGGTTCACTCTTTTTCCTTTACTTAGGATTAGGGAGATTTTTTAACGAGATCCTTAGGGTGGTGTACTTTGTAATTTATAATACAAAGTAACCATTTTACAAAAAAAAATGTTCTTCTGTTTATAGTTTGCTTTTCTTTTCTGTTAATAAAAGTTACAATTGGTTGTGTTATACGTCTTGTGAGGTTTTGAAGGAAGGGAACCTGAAGTGAAGGCTATTATAACATTGGCATCATCACTTGATTACAAATCTTCGAATTCGGCACTCAAATTGCTCTTACCTCTTGTAAGTCAGTGAACCATTGTTAATTACTATGTATGTTTATGTGATTTTGATAACTACCTATTTAAAAGTTTGATACAAATAGGTTTGATGAGAAAGTAATATCATGGAACTTGTTATGCAGGCAGATCCTGCACAAGCTCTTAACGTACCCGTTGTTCCATTAGGAACGCTTTTGGCAGCTGCCTATCCTCTATCATCTCGGCCTCCTTATGTCTTGGGTTGGCTAAATAATGCATGATGCATCCGGAGTTGCTCAAAAAGCTTGTCTTAAACAACTTCTGTGAGCATGGGTATATTTCTCTTCACATGATGTGAAATGTTACAGCTGTTATTTGAATTTACAGCTTTCCTCTTTCCATGAAAATGAACATCTGTGTATACTGTCTTTAATGATTAATGAAACAGAACCCAAATAATTCAGGGAAAACTGGGTTTCTGATTTTGTAGCTTGATGTTCCGTTATCAACTTTCTTGCTTGGTGGAACTTCTCTCTGAATCTGATCTCTGTTGCTCTATTAGGATTCAAGTTTTATGCTTTGTTATCTGCAAAAAGGTGACTGACATGACGTCTTCTATGATTTCCAGGTACCATACCAGCTAAACTTCTTCTGCAGCTCACGTCAGCTTTTCGAGAACGGGGGTTGTGCGATAGGAATGGTAAATTTTTCTTCAAGGATCATATACATAAAACCAATGTACCTGTCCTGGCTATTGCAGGTGATCGAGATCTAATTTGCCCACCACAAGCAGTGAAAGGTAGGTTAACGTGCATAATCCTCTCACATTCCATAGCTTCCTTACAGCTTATATCTTTTCATTTGTCGTGTATTATAGTGGTCTATTTAATGTAAAAGTTGCACAAATTAAGTGATAAATGAAGTATTATTATTTTTTGAGAACCCAAGTTCGAGCATCGTAGATGACAATGATGAAATCTTTCAATCATGAAAGATTGAGAGTTATCTATAAATAAATACTGTCTTGTACTTACTCTAGATTAATAACGCGTACAATAAATTTAGTTACTCAGATATAAATTTTTTTTAAAAAATAACACTATGAGTTGATTTGTGGGCCATCAACTTGAACATTTTTTTGATGCTTTGAAAGCATTTAAATTTATAATTAAGGTTGTTAATCTTTTAAATAGACATGATTGAAAATAGTGAAATATAACAAATTTCAAATTTGTGACCGTTGGGAACGTGCGCTTCAATAACGTGGGTACATGAAAACCTATTTTGACGCTTTAGCTTGAAAAACAAGGCTAAGTCCCCCATATGTTTAGCCGCCGACACGGTTCTTGTTTTCTGTCTCTTTGCAAGAAGCCTCCTTAACCACCCACCAACGCACGTGTTACATATTAAATTATAAATTGTTAAAAATAATTAAAATTATAAATTGTTAAAAATCAAAATTTCTTGAAACTTTAACAATTTCTTAAATTCTTATTTATTTTTACTTACGATTAAATAATTCCTCAAATTTTTTATAGAAATTGATTATATTATTGAACTTATTAAAAATAATTAAAAAATAAAAACAACAATACTATTTTAAGTTTACTACGACAACAAAATTATAATTTTAAGTAAAAAAATAAAATGATAAGATAATATTTTAATAAAATTAAAAGAATGTTCTAGATACGCAAAATTTCCATAAATTTAATTTAAGAAATTGATTTGCCATGTAATGTGATTAAAAAAAGGGGAATGATGAATATATATATATATATATATATATATATGCCAGGCTCAGGTTTTCTCTTGACGGTCCACGAGCTTACGTTAGCATCTGGCACAGCACGGTCAGAACCACTGGCCTTGAATCCCTAAATCTCCCTGATTTGTACACGTGCCATAATTTTCTCTCCCGAAACTCCCTCACTCTCTCTCTCTTCTCTCTCTCTGTAACTCTCATCTCATCACAGAAGAAGAAGCAGAGAAAGAGAAAGAAAATTCCTAGAAAATATATTCAAAAGAAGGAAGGAAACAACGGTTATCAAGAAGGGAAGAAAATAATTAAAAAAATTGGAAAATGGGGAAACTTCTATGCGATCCAACGGAGACATTTCAAACGTCTTCTCCGACGGTACCTCGGAGGGAACCTAATGACACGACACTTGAACCGGTTGATCTAGGTGACCAGATCATCACGGCTACTTCCACGTGGGACGACGTGATTGGCCTAGAGGACCAACAGAGACGGCATCTCACCAAGCTTCACGCTAAGGGAGTGCTGTGGAAGCACCCCAACGAGAGCGGCTCCTCGTTGGTGTTCCGTCTGTCTCACGGCGGCGATGTGTCGACGGATGGGAACTGCCTTTTCACGGCCTCGCAGAGAGCCATGGCGCGTGAGGTCGACGCGCGAGATTTGAGGAAGCGGACGGTGAAGCGTTTCTTGGAGGATCTTGGATCTGCTATGGAAGAAGAGAGACAGATGATAAATGAGGTGATCCGGAATATGTACTCTCCGGATCTGAGGAACGGGTGGGGTGTTCATGTGGTTCAAGAAGTTAAGTTGTTAGCCAAGAAGGAGGAGCGCGTTGCCTTGGATTCTTCCATTGAAGAGCTCGTTCAGCTCGGAATGCAAAGGTCCCCCCCCCTTCTTCGATCCATTCATCTGATTTTTGTGATTATTGTATCAATGCTTTATTTGATACGCTCTCTTGTCGTCAATTTTTTCTTATTGAAGAGAATTGGTTGCCGAATCTATTTACAAAGAGAGATGTGTTCCTGTGAATGACGGCTCGAGCTGGGCCAAATACATGTCCATTTCTGGTTCACCTGGTGATGAATATGATATCATCACTTTGCAATATACTGAGGAGGGTTTATTATCTGTAGATGAGAACAGAGAAGGCCGTGCTGCTGCATTTGGGGATGACATTGCCATCGAATGTCTTGCAACTGAGTTCAATCGCGAGATATATGTAGTAAGTTGAAGCTTTGTTTGTTATGATTATATGGCCGCATGGATTTTGCTGCTCAGCTAGTTTTATGTCTTCAAAGCATTGTTTTTTTTCGATTGGTACTTACATAGCCTTTGTTTCATAACAATGGCCGTGTATTGCTTCTTATTCTTACTGCTGCAGCTGTGTTCTATGAATTCTGAAACTAAGATGCTAATGCAATGGGAAGAATTCATTAACATGCAATTTTGCCATTTACTTGGACAAAGAATTCATTAACTGATCAACACTTTCCCTTTTATCTTTTAAGTACCTAAATTATCATTTAGGTCAAAGTCAAAATAGAAATCTAAAGTATTTTTTTGGTCAAAATAGATACTAAAAGTATTCAATCTTTTTCATCTAAGTTTTAAAAAAGTTTACGCATGAGATTAATAAAAGAATACTTTAGCTAATTAAATAAAAAAGATTGAATACTATCTATCTTGATCAAAATGATAACTTTAGGTATCTACTTTGACCAAAAAGTACTTTAGGTACTTAGATGAAAAAGATGGCATACTTTAAGTACTTATTTGTTATATAAGCCTTATTTACAGACCAAACAACTTTTTTATCACTTGTGGTGATCAGTTATGCACTAGTGAATATCGATGTTCATTAGAAACCCATTCAATTTTAGCTTAGGTTGAAGTACTTATTTGTGATATAAGCCTTATTTACAGATCTAACAACTTTTTTATCACACGTGGTGATCGGTTATGCACCAGTGAATATCGGTGTTCTTTAGAAACTCATTCAACGTTAGCTTAGATTGAAAGCTCGTTCTTTCAACTCATTCATTACACAGGTGCAAGCACATGGATCAGATGCTATGGTTGACGAAGACAACTGTGTTTTCTTCCTTCCGCATCGTCCAAGGAGTGAAATATGTGGACCTCCCTTCTTTCTGTTTATGAAAGGAACAGGTATTGGAATTTTTCCCAGTTTGCTAAACAAAAGACTTCTCTTATCAAATTGCAAGTTTACAAAGTCCCCTAATGTGTCAGGTTGGTGCGGTGCTGGCGCTGATCATTACGAACCACTGATTGCCCATGCTTCTTCGCTTGTTTCTCCGGAGAAGGTTGCTCTCGTACTGGGGCAATGAGTTGAATCCTACAGTTTTGCGGTGTAGAGATTTAACTAGAAAGTGGTTCATTATTTTTTCCCTCAATATTTGGTATGCAATGTGATGTAGTACTTCTCGGCAATGCTTTTGTAGGAGAATTTCATCGCACTGCATAGCATAGCGTAGCACAGAATTCTTCGTTTTTTTGGTTAACATTATCTAGAATTGGTTATCCTCTTACGTTTAGTTTGCAGGTATGGTTGATGCCTGCGATTTGAGAAAGGTCTGAATAGTGTTTTGTAGTGGTTCTGTCTTGCATTCCGGCTTCTGTTGTGCTGTTGTTGTGGTTGAGTTATGTAGTAGTTGTTCGGCGGTCGGTCAGTGCTATTTGCTTCAAGCTGGAATAGTGCCTGCCTGCCTTGCCTTGCCACCCATTTGTTGTATCCTACAGCTAGACTTCGTTGGATTTTTTCTATTGTTTGGAATAAATAAAGTATCATTAGGTTTGATTTTTTTTATATAAAAAAGTAGCTAATAACAGTTGAATGATTAAATAGATAGTTTAAAATTGTTCTAATTTAATCCAAAACATTGCTGTCCTTCGTAATCGACAATGTTGCATGTTAAGAGGGAACATACCAATTTATCCACAAGGAAAGTGTAAAGTGGACCTCAAAGTCTCTGGAAAAACTAGCTAATGTACATGACAAAACTGGATAGACATTTCCATCATAAACTCATAACCCATGGTTAATGATTAATTAGCCCTCTGATTTCACTATTCACTAACACTACTTATCAGATTCAGAGCCAAAGAGCTCCGGCCTCCTTGAGCAGTGGCACCAAAGTCCCATTAATATGTGAAGCCATGACTCTGTCCATGGCACCAATCAGCTTCCCACCCATTCCACAGAAGAGGCGCTTCGCAGCATGGCACATCCAACAGCTGCTAACGCTGAATATCACCACCGCGCTCTCCGACGCCAGCTGCGCCACTCTCTCGATGGGGGTCCGACTCGATGCTCCTCAGGCTCAGGCTCATCGGCAGGTAACAACCCCACGATTCGCCCTCGCAATACATTGTTTTCTCCTTTTTTTTGAACCGAAAATTTTGCAGAGAGAAACGCAGATGGTGGTGGAGCTTAGGGGAAGGCGTTTGAGGGAGTGGCGGCATTTTATAAGGACCACGACCACAACCACGACCCGAGACGAGACGAGACGGACTGCGGCGGCGGCGCGTGAGAGTCCCCTTTATTCTCTATCACTCAACAAAGAAGTGGGAAAGCCAAGCCTTAAATACCATTCCCAATAGTGTTTCCAATACTATGTGGGATTGAGCATTACCAACACTTGTTTCCAATACAATGTGATTATTCAGGAAACAATTAACAATCATGCACCTTAAAACAACTGAATCAGCAACTAATTGCATTAGTATTATACGATTAAATATGTCATAATTAAAAGTCAATCTACAATCAATCGCGATTATTGCAATTTTAAGCAAAATATTCAAAAATAATATCACTATTTAAGGCTCAATCCCACATAGTATTGGGAACAAGTGTTGGTAATGCTCAATCCCACATAGTATTGGAAACACTATTAGGAATGATATTTAAGGCTTGGTTTTCCCACTTCCTTGTTGAGTGATAGAGAACAAGGGAGACTCTCGCGCGCCGCCGCCGCCGCCGTTCGTCTAGTCTCGTCTCGTCTCGTTCGACTATCGCAACGAACTTGGAATAAATCGCAACGCGAACTTCGACTATCGCAACGAACTTGGAATAAATCGCAACGCGAACTTCGACTATCGCAACGAACTTGGAATAAATCGCAACGCGAACTTCGACTATCGCAATGCGAATATGTAAATCGCAATGCGATAGTCGAAGTTCGCGTTGCGAATCTAGAAAGTGATTTGCGATACCGGAGATCGCGTTGCGAATTATTGATCGCATTGCGATTTAGTTGGTCATTTTGGCAAATCCAAAAAATGTTGGTTAAAATCGTATATTATAAGGCATTTTTGGTCACTGAGGTTATTTTATCTTAATTTAAATGGTATTTTTTAACCATATATATATATTCATATTCATATTTTTTCGTATATGATTTATACATGCCATATAAAATCGAGGGACTCGACTAAAACTTTAACTCAAATTTGAAAATTAATCTACTACTTACTAAAATTTTCGAGTTATTCGAGTTGTATTTTACAACTCGATTTGAACTTAAATTTTTTTCGAGTCGAATTTATGAAATTAAAACTTGAACTAAATTCAAGTTGAGTGAAAAAAGTCGATTTTTTAAGTCGATTCAAGTTCTGATCGCCTCAATAAGTTAGAGCAGAGAGGACAACAATACAACTAAAAACCTGTTTAAATATACCAAAGGTCCCTCTCTTATTTTAATATATGAAATTTAGTCTTTGTACTTTAATTTATGACACTGAATCACTATAATATTTTATTTGAAAATAAGGTAAACTATGCATTTATTGTTTAAACTATTAGTTTTGGTCTATTTTAGTATCTAAACATCTAAATTTTTTAAAATTATACCTAACGTTTAGTTTTCATTTCATTTTAATATCCAGTCGTTAAAAACTTAACGAGTTTAGTATCTAAACTATTTATTTTGATCCGTTTTAGTATCTAAATTTTCAATTTTTTCAAAACTTTTTTTGAACAAAATATTAAAATGAAACAAAAACTGAAAATTTTAACGACAGGGTACTAAAATGAAACAAAAGCTACTTTATGTATGGTTGAAAATTTGAAAGTTTAAGTACTAAAATGAATAAAAACTTATACTTTAGGTACAAAACACATAATTTACCCGTGAAAATATTGGTCTCTTTACTAACTTTTGTTCAACCTCTTTGTCAATATTGACCTAACAGTTATATGAAAAAATAGAACAACATTTTTAGTCCTTCATATTTATATCTTTTATCAATTTGACTCTTAAAAAACTGTAAACGGAGATGATTGAAAAACATTATTATTCAATTAATAATAATTTTTTTATTTTTAAAGATTAAAGGTCACGTTGATAAAAAAAAGAATTGTAAACGTAAAAAACTAAATAAGTTATTTTACTTTTTTCTATAGCTTTCAGGTCGAACGTTAAAGAAAATCGAATATGAGTCGAGATATGCATCGAGACTTTAAAATTAAAATAGGGTAAATATACAAAATGATTATTAAACTATATACAAAATGATTATTAAACTATGTTGAAACGACATTTTTAGCCATTAAACTTTTGAAAGTTATAAAATGATCATTACGTTTTCCGAACTGTTACAAAATGATCATTGTATGTTATAACATAGTGATAAAATTTGATAAGTTTAAGGAACATTTCGTAATAGTTTGATAAGTTCAATGACCATTTTGTACTAGTTTGCAAAAGTTTAATGCTCATTTTGTAACAGTTCACTAAGTTTAATGAATTTAGTAACCACATCTATACTTTACCCACGGAAATAATACATACAATCAACGTCGCAAAACTGGAGTATAATGACTAAACTTTAAATTTTGAAATAGTTAAGGGCCCTTTTCACATTTTAACCAATAAAACTCTAGAGGAGAATAGGTGTCAGTTGAAGAATGGAGGGTAGGGGTAGTTTGTCTACTCCAGTTACCGAGAGAGTTAAATGTCGGTCCCAACTTTTAATCACATAGTGCTTTCCTTTTTGTGTAGTAATATTAAAAAAAGAACAGACCCTTTCCATTCAAGCAAAAACCGAAAGGTTCTTTGGGATAGACGGCTTGGTTTGGTGCTGCTTGTGGGGTGGCCTTCGAGTTTGATGAGATTTACACTTTTTGTTGGTGACAAGACCCGACCCCTGCGCGCATGTTTTGCCCTTTGTCTTCTTGGAACAGTCGAACATGGTGATGTGTTGGGTCTTGGAGATGATGAATTCATCATCCAGCTTGTATTTTTGACCTCCTTTTTGCCCTAATCCGCTAGAGAGGGCAGGGACTTTCAACGACAACAACAAAATCATATTCTCATGTGTAATGAAGTAAGGAGAAGGTAGGGTAGTAATAAATAAATAATTGCATAATTGAACAATCTTCCTATGCAGTTCTCATATACACGTCAATAATGAGAAGTAATCCTTGTAAATAAATTCCTGTATTAAAATATTTGCATATAGACAAAAACGTAAGACTCCACTAAATTTAAAAAGAGGAAACCTGAAGAGAATGATACACAATATTCAACGGTAACAAGCTACGAGAAGGAATAAAATCTAATGGGTTAAAAACCTAATCTAAAGCAACACTACTCCGCTACTCTAATTCTAAACTTTCATAAATTCTAATGTCACACGTCAGGGGCTTTGTGTCCTCTAAATTATAGGGTCATGATCAAACCAGAGTTAAAAAAGTAAAAAAAATAGTGTACTAGATTGGTAATTTGATTACTTTTGCTTCGCTAATTAAGTTTGTTTTCTGGTGCAAACTACGTGGTTTAACGTATGATTTGCTGCTCCTACTGCATAGAAAATTGCAAAACCAAGCTCTATGATCTTGACTGCAAAATTTTACACGGTGTGAACGAATAACGGGGACCATGACTGTGTTTTCCCCAACTTTGATATTTCACACTAAATAAAATACTACAAAGGTTTTATACGTAAATAACATCTGATGTTGGACGGAGCTAGAATTTTAGTTCAAGGGGTAAACTATAATTAACAATAGAAAATTAGGGGGTTAAATCAAAATAAATTAAAATTTAAAGACCTAAATAGATAATTATCCCAATATTATTTAATGATAAAAAATTGGGAGTGGGAAAAATTAAAATAAATCAAAATTTAAAGGCATCAATAGGTAATTATCCCAATATTATTTAATGATAAAAAAAATTGGGGGCATGGGAATCCGAAGAGCTTTGACCCGAATCGATTCGATCGGGTCGAATTTTTTAAAAAAATGGTCAGAGTCGAGTTTAGGGTGAAAAATACTCTAGTCGACTCAAAATATTATAATATTACCTTATATATTTAGGGATAAGTGCAATAATACTCATCTATATATTTTTTCAATTAAATCCCATTTTTAATAAAAAAATATTTTTTTTAAAATATATTATTTCGAGTCGGATTCAGATTTATCTCAAAAAGACAGATAGAGTGGATTCCACATTAGCTATACATAGTGGGACTAATACTTTTGTTTAGCTTATATTGGTTATCAATTAGATCACACGTAGTGAATGAAGGAGCATTGCATTGATGAGTGCATTAGTTGTGTTTAGTGGGATTAAACATGTGTGTTAGTGCTTTTGTTTTAGGAAATAAGTTGCCTCGTGTTCACTTGTGCATGGTTTTCCAATGTCATCTATTTCGTAAAATGATTTTCGAAAAATAAATCATAATTTTTTTGAAATAAAATTTCTTACCGTTATTTTCCATTGCTCAACGATGTTGTGTAAAGTTTTTGTTGTTTGGTAAAATTTTCAGAAATTATTCGCTATAAATACTAAATAAAGGAAAAGTATAAAAATAGTTCGTAAATTATAGGGTGTTATTTTATTGGATTTTTCGACTATCGAAAGATAAAAAATAGATATCTGATTATTCACATGTTTCAAACTTATCCCATTTCGAAAAAAAAGTTTACATGTTAAGTGAAATGTGATAGTTGTTTGAGGTTTTGAGATTATATTTTATTTATATCACTTTTCAACAGAAAATGACGAATTTAAAATATATGGATGGTTGTAGGGGTGTTCAAAATTCGGTTTTAACCGAATTAACCGATCGAACCGAATTAGTTCGGTTAATTCTGTCGGCCACCGAATTAATTCGGTCGGGGAACGGTTAAGAATTTTTTTTTAAATTCGGTTAACAGTTCATTCGGTTCGAAATCGGTTAATTAATCGAATTAACCGAATTAACCTTTAAATATAATTATATTAAGAGGCTCAATCCATTTAAAACCTAAATCAATATTAATTAATTAAAATAATATTAAAACTAAATGCAAAATGTTTGAATCAAATTAATTAGATATTATTTATAATTAGATATTATTTAAATTAATTGTAAATTGTTTTTTTTAATTAAAAAAATATTAAATTCTAAAATTCTAAAAAATTTCGATTAATTCGAAAATTAATCGAATTAACCGAAATTTATTCGGTTCGGTTAATATTTTCGAAAAAAAGTTCGGTTCGATTAACGGTTAAAGAAAAAAAAAGTTCGGTTAATTCGAAAATGGTAGTTCGGTTGATTCGGCCACCGAATTAACCGAATGAACATCCCTATATGGTTGGACAACCATTTTTTTCATGGCTGTTTTTTTTTCATTTATATAAATGAAGGGTTTCTTAACGAAAATGAATCATTCAACTTCTCATGTTCAGGAACAAGTGGACCATCGGAAAATGTTTACGTGTGACGGCTTTAATATATGATTAAAAAAAGATATTATCGGTTTTATTATTATTTAAATAATAAAATTGATAAAAAATTTACCTAAAATATTATTATTTTTACTGGTTTTGTTATCATTTGGCTCTTTACCAGATTTGGTAAAGCGCTACCGGTTTTGTTATTATTAGATATTTTTATTAAAAATATTAAAAAAAATTGATGTTTTAAATAAAAAATAATAATATTTTAAATAATTTTTTATCAATTTTATTATTTAAATAATAACAAAACCAATAATACTTTATTTTAACCTTAAATTAAGGTGTCGTAGAACTTTCATCGACCAGCCCCATACAGTCTTACACAATTAAGTTTATTTAGCTTTTTACTGTATAGCATTGCTTATATTGCGTGAAACAGTACCATTTCAGAGCACGTAATTTTTATTAATTATGCATGATGGTATAAAAAGCAGCAGTGACAGTGAGACAAAGGATCACAATCACATGTTCACCTAAAGCCCAGACAAAGTGACACACAGCAGTCGCTAAAGTAGCTTGGTTCAGGCGTGCATGCAGTGCACCTGCTCCAACGGGACGGCGGGACGGTACGGTTGTGCGCCGAATACCGGTTTAATATCTGCATCCCTTTGTTGTTGTTTTTGGTTGACCTTCTTCTTCTTCTTCACCTACGCATGCTCAACAGAATCCCGGTGCTGCTGCTTCTGCTTTTCTTTGTACGTTGCTTGTAAAATTTAAGGTCTGGTTATTGGATAAAAAGTGAGTCTGGGCACGGTGATTTTCTTAGTTCCTAGAAAGAATCACAGCTTTAACTTGCAAGTGGGCGTGGGTCAAAGAAAAATACTTTTTCATTCTAATATTCGTGCGAGGATGGATGCAGATTCTATCTTAGGAGGTGAATTCAATTTTTTAAAATTTTGAAGGACTAAATTTAAACTTATAAAACTTAATTAGGAGAAAAACACATTTTCAATTTAAAGTACATAAAACAATCTTAAACATGTAATAATTTTAAATTTTCAATATTTTCAACAGATTTTGGTCCATAGCTGCACAGACAGAATCAGAATCTTGGATTTGACCATGGTTTTTAAAATCGGACCGGTTAGCGAACCGGATCAGTTAGTGAACTGGTCATGTTATCGGTTCACTGATTCAACCGGTCGAATCGGTCCGACCGGTCGGAAGAATCGGACGGCGTTATAATTATTTAAAAAATTAAATAAAAATACCAAAAATATTTAATAAAAATAATTTTTTATATCACAAGTCATATTCAAAGCAAATCATAACATATATAAGTTAAAAACCATAAAATCAAGTGAAACAAAATGATTCAAATTAACTACAACATAATATTGAAGGTAAAACATATTAAATAATAAATATAATTATATAACTATAATTAAAAAATAAATTTGGGGCTAAAAAAATCATAACAAAATGATATTGTTTGATTTAATTTTTTTTTAAAAAACAATCTCACATGTCTAAGAAACATAGAAGAGCATCACAACTAACTTCTATAAATAATAGAGGTAATTTGACATTCAAAATCATGTAGCCTTTTGGTGAGCATTGAGTGAGCTATTCTTTCACTTTAATCAAGCTCGAATTTTAGGTTTCAATCGAGTTTCTAAATTTTTTTAGTTCATGCATTTTCGAGTTCAAGTTTCAATATTATATTTCGAGTACGAGTTGAACTTGATAATTTTTAGCTCGTGAGTTTAAGTCGAGTTGAGCTTACTTTTAAAGTTTTCAAGTTCGAGTCGAGCTCAGCAAAACTCGAGTTCGACTTGGCTCGTTTAACAAATGACGTCGTTTGGTTTAATTTTTTTAAAAAAAAAACAAAATTGGCGTTTTTTTTTTTCATTTTTTTTCGATTTTTAGCCGGTTCGATTCGAACGGTTCAACGATTTCGGCCGATTCACTAATAGCGATTTAATCGGTGTAAATTGAACCAGACTAGGCAACGATTCTCTATTAAACCGGTTGAACCGGCCAGTCCGGTCCAATTTTCAAAACAATGGAGTTGACAGGTTGGTTTGATTCTCTCTTAATATATATATATATATATATATATATTGATACAATAAAGTTTATGTTATGGATTATTCTTCAATTTAAGGCCATGATACATCTAAGATTTAATTGAAATTTATAAATTAACTAAGATTTAATTGAAATTTATAAATTAACTACAAAAATAATAATGATAAAATTTGAATTTAACCTTATAAATTTAAATTCTTAAATTTCAACAACTTATATTAAGATTCGATGAACTCTTATATATATATATATATATATATATATATATATAACACATCATGTGAAATAGACCGTAACGTGAAAAAGGGACGCTACTACAAAAATAAATCTTCAAATTATATTTCACCTTTCATATTATTTGTAATTATATATATATATATATTTAAAATTAATTAATTTTTGTATTTAATAGTTACAATATAGGGGTGTTCAATCGGTTAAAACAGTGGCCGATCGAACCGAATTACCATTAATCGAATTAACATAATTTTTTCTTTAATT